TGGCCCTATAGCCTTGTGACCCTCGGTTGGAGATGGTTTTTTGTCACAGGGCTATGTTTGGCCTATGACCCTTTGACCTCCCGGTTGAACATGGTAAGAAGCATGACCCTACATTATTCATTAAAATATTAATTTCATGGAGGACTACGGGGCTAAAGAGAGCCTTCTGACCTTTCTTTGGTTAGAGATGACCTTATTAATTTGGTCTGATCAACATAGCATAATGAATGGCTTTATATCAGCAACTTGAAAGACCATGTCAATCATGTCAATGTGATCAATCAAGAAATTAAGAAGAGACATGATGCAGGAAGACAGAAGAAAGAAAAGTTCCTATTCCAATCCGATGGCAAATGCCATGATATGTTTCCACCGTCTTTGAGGAGTTTACCTACGCAATATATTACAATTTATTCATAACAAAGGACTGCTAGAACAGCAACAAAACCACACCCTCGGTTTGAACCATATTATTATAAAAAAGGAACATGCATTGCTGTGGTATGGCAAAAATGAAACCTTTTCGGGTTCTAGCAGAAACCTATACAGAAGAAATTAAATAGCAAAAAGGAAAAATATTGGGAACTCTTAACTCAATTCCAAAATGTGGGTTTCAGAGTTACGATCTACATTTATCAAAAGGAAGAGAAATAATACAATTTCCTATGTAGCTAATTACTTGTAAACCCTAACCCAAATTGTAGGATAGGGATGGTTCAGATTAATATGCAGCCAAAAAAAAAAAAAAAGGAATAGCAGATAATAGAGAGATAGAATTAGAGGTTTAGCATTTCTCACTTTCCTTTTTACATTTTGATTTTCCTTTCCAATTTTTTTTCCTTCCTTCTTTATGTAATTTCACACACACCCACCCACCCAAAATACTTACCTTTATAATGGTTGTTGACTATGGGGATGGCGAGGCGGGCAAGTGCTCGATGGTGAGGCTGTGGGGCAGTGAGGCACTGCAAGGCTGCGGGGCTCGCAGCTGCGAGAGTGGAGTGATGGCTAGCTGAGAGACAAAGTGAGGGAGGAGCAGTGAGAGAGATCATAGAACGGCACAAGTGAGGGAGTGATGGCTGATGTGAAATCTCGTTCCCTGATTTCACTGTTATAATTTACGTATTTGTATTATTGAGATTTTATATTAATTTATTTGAAATTAGATTTCAATTAAACTAGTAACGAGAAGTGAAGTTTGGAAAATTATTATTTACTCGTTGACCTTTTGAAGTCACAAGTAACGTTTTTGAATAGATCTTGAACCCACGAACGCATAGGCGAAGCCGTTTGCAAGTTTGAATTATAAAGGTATAGTTACGGACGTTTGAAATTGTGAACTATAGATTGTGGGAATTATTTAATTCCCACATGTGGGTTAAATGTTAAGTTAGTTTAATAAAAAGGGAACCAATCAGATTTTTATAGGGGGAAAAACAGCCCAATCAGAGGGGAGCAAGGAGGGGAAATGAGAGAGACCCGAGTTGGGTCATTTTTGACCCGCGAAACTCCAATTTTGACCTGGCCATATCTCTTTCATCCGAACTCCGTTTTGGGTGATCTTGGTGTCCATGGAAAGCCCTTGATGAGCCCTACATCTTTGTAGTGTTAGATTTCCCAATTTCTTTCCCATTTTTCCAGTTCGTCCATAACCACCACCAAAAGACTCCCCTCAACCCCAGGAACAAAGCCCAAGCAGTGTTAGAGGCGTTGGAGTTCGATTGGAATCCAAATTCAAAGCACACCCACCTTAGGGTTCCAGCGGTTTGTGGCCAGTTTGGGGTGTTTTCCGGCCAAATTGGCCTTGGTCGCATGTATAGTTTACTCTACTCATTGAGATCTTCATTCCTGTAAAATTTGGTAATTTTTGGAAATAGTTGGATTTTTCCGGCGAGTCGAGGCGGTCGACCGCCACCGACGGCGGCAAGTGCAGCGATGCGTGGCCAGGGGGCCGTCGATGTCATTCTTAGGCTAAATTAGATGCCTTGAGCTTAGTTTTGGTAATTGTATGATATAAGTTGATGGTTGGAACCTAAATTCTCTACGATACATTAATTGGTAAAAGTGTGAATTGATGATCCGACCGTTGGATCGTCACCAAACTTTAACATATGTGATATGGTTATTATCTTAATTTCTTATATTAGTATCATTTGCGAATATGAATTGGTATTATAATTATGATTTCTATTGAAATGTGAATTTTATATATTTAGCCATAGACATATGCTAATTAACTATGATTTGGCTTGTGTATGGATGTTGTGATATATATATATATATATATATGTGTGTGTGTGTGTGTGTGTGTGTTTGATTAACTTTTTAATAATGTGAATGATAATGATGATGAATGTTATGACAATTATGGGATCTAAATATTGTTTGATAATTATTTGGATATGCTTGCCAACTGAATACCTATGTGAACTTGGCATTACTACCTAGCATGAGATGAAGATGGAAGTCAGGAGATGAGTTGGGTACTTTATTAGATTTTTAGTAGAATTAGTAATTAAGGGAATTCCTTGTGTTGTGCTCCATATAGCTGGATGCTGGTTGATATGTGGAATCAATAGCCGTCAAAGAGACTAAACCGATCCAGGAAGAACTCAAGGAATTGCTCCCACAGCGAGATCAATTTAAAGAAAATGAGGCTAATCTTAAGACCAGCTTGGTTATTGGAGATGGCTACTGGGCAACCTTGAAGAAAGTAACTCGTCACAACCTCCCTCCGTGACTTTCTTCTTTGGGTTGCATTTGGGCTGCAGTTTTTTTCCTTTTCCTTTTCTTTTTGGTGGTGTATCTGCTCGCATTTGCCTAGCAGACTATTTTTAAGGAGAGATTTTTTAGCGTACTAGGACATGTTTCCGGTATACCAAGTCGAACCTTATTTTGAGTAGGCTTTTTAGCCAAATTGGTCCTTGAGATTTGCATAACACATAACTTTGATCATTGAGATTGAAAATCAATATAAATGGTCATGAGATTGTCCACCATCCATCATTTTGGTCATTTCGTTAAAAACTTTTTGGGCAATTTTCAAAGCTTTGTAACTTAGTTGTTTCTTAACCAAATTTGACTCATAGTATATCAAAATGAAGATAGGAAAATGTAGAACAAGATTATACTATTTGGAAGCCTAATGGTTGCCGAAGCTGGCTGAAAAATAGCGTGAAAGGTGACTGGTCAGCTGGAAAAGTGGAAAACTCGTTGGAAATTGGGTAAATTTTAAACGTTAATAACTTCTTTAATACTCAACGAAATAGAGTGATTCAAAAACAAAATTCATACTTCTCGATGAGACGAAGAGAATGGTATCTTTCTCGATTGCTAATTGGTGGTGGTTTGGTCGAAAAACAGCTCGAAAGTGGCTAACTCGAGACCAAGATAGCCACTTTTGAGCCATTTTCCAGCCAAACCACAGTGATCTAGCCATCAAGAAAGATACCATTCTGTTCGTCTCGTTGAGATGTATGATTTTTGTTTTTGAATCACTCGATTTTGTTGAGTATTGAAGAAGTTATGAAGTTATGAACGTTTAAAGTTTACCCCGTTTCTGGCGAGTTTTCTAGTTTTCCCGCGGATCAATCACCTTTTTGGCTATTTTCCGGCCATATTCCGCAACCATTGGGCTTCTAAATAGGTATAATCTTGTTCTACACTTTCATATTTTGCTATATTATGGGTCGAATTTGGTTAAGAAACGATTGAGTTACGAAACTTTGAAAATTGCCCAAAGAGTTTTTAACGGAATGACGAAAATGATAGATGGTAGACAATCTCAAGGATCATTTCTATTGATTTGCAATCTCAGGGACCAAAATTATGTGTTATGCAAATCTCAGAGACCATTTTGGCTAAAAACCTCCTCAGTATGATAAGGTTCAGTTTTATAATAGCAAGGAGAGAGAATTTCAAGAGCTTGCCAAATGGAGAATGAGTATTGAAGTCAGGCAGGCTGGCTGAAATTCATGGCGCCATCAAAGAGACTGAACAGATCCAGGCAAAACTCAAGAAATTGCTCTTACTGCAAGATCAATTTAAAGAAAATGAGGATAATCTCAAAACCCAACTTGGATATTGGAGATGGCATCTGGGCAATCACGAAAAACGTTATTTCAGGAACCACCTTAATTGGGCATGTTAATTTCAGAGACATTTGTGATAAACACCCAATTGGTTTTCATGGAATTATCAAATCAACAATAACCCAATTTTTTTTATAATAATTTATTTAAGATTTGGTCATGTCAATTCTTTTTTTTTTTTGGTTTCAATCATGGTTAATATTTAGGAAAGTTGGATATAACTGTAGGTTCGACTCTGAGAGATTCCTTGTTGAAGTTTTTCAGACTAACTATATTTATTATAAGATGAATTGCCAATTTAGTCTTTGAATTATCACCTGAGTGAAAATTAGGTTTCTAAATTTTTTTTTTTTTTATAGAAAAAATATGTCGATTACATTCCTAATATTAGATTCAAAGCTACTATATTCAATTTTTTGTCAACTTAAGTCACGTTACTTGCATGTGATACACATTAAAGGGTTGATTGATAATTTTTCATAAAGAAATAATGTATGAAATTAAATTTGAAGGGTAAATTAGAAGTTTGATTTGCAACTTATATTAAATGTTAAGGGCCTTTAGGCGACAAAATGACGGTATTACATTCTAAAGTGTGTCAAATGACTTAAATTGTCGAAATATTAGATAAAATAGCTTTGACCATAATAGTAAGGATGAAATTAGCAATTTTTAATGAATTAAGGAACCTAATTTTTATTAAGTTGATAGTTTAGGGACTAAATCGGCATTTCACCATTATACCCATAAGATTTTTACTGAGCTGATAAGGCGTCAAATGGTCAATGTAATGAGTCAGCTTCGAGGAAGCATCGCGTTTCCCAAACACCGGTAGCAAAGCGCTGTCAGAGGTTTTAGCGCGTTTAGAAAAGGTTCCTAATTTGAAAGTTTCCACATATGAACTATTGGATTGGTTGAAACGAGCATCTTCACTGCCAGAAAATGAGAGTTCCAGTGAAACATTAAAGGATCATAGTTATCACAGTTCAAGTGAAGTTACGATCAGGTCCGCTTGATGTTGCACCAGATAAGGTTGCTGTCATTGAGTTGCTGTTTTTCTTCTACCATCAGAGTTGTAGTTTCATTGCATCCTGCTGGTTCTATTGACCCAGATGCAGTGGCTTTCTTTTCTCCAGATGAGGTAATCTTGGTTACCGCCAATATATTTACAAAAAATAAAGCTTATTATGTTTCATTTGATCAAAGTACATTTTTTACCTCAGAAACCTTTTACTGGCTTTGAAGTTATTGATGTTACATTTTTATGCAGCAAGTGTGGACGGCTGCTTACAATGGACCTGAAATCAGCTCTACTGTTACCTCCAGTTTGTCGTTCTTATTGGCAGTTCACCACATCGAATGCGTCATCAAATTTGAATGTTTCCGGGGCTTACCATGTGGGTTGTTTCTCAGAGGAATTGTGATCTCGACTGATGACAGGTAAAAGCTGTCCATTGTCTCGGATATGGAATTGGCAAGATAAAGAAATTATAACACGTCATTCAAAGAACCCCCACTAGAATGTTGAATTTTACATCTTTTCCTAATTTGCTTGAAAGCTACTGGGACATGAACTTTTCTTTTATGTTATTTTTGTATTATTTCAGGGAGATGGTTATAATCAAATTATCTGCACTATAATCTAAATAATTCGCTAGAGTGTAAGTTTTCAAATTTTAATTGCTGCTATCCGAGTGCACAAATCATCTTATATGCGTTGTTTGCAAACTATGAAATCACTTAACTGGCTTTTTGCATCATTCTTTGAAGATTTATTTGGATGTGTATTGAAAAGTCCCTTGATAAGTTTTGAACTGTTCGTCATTTGGATAAGAGGAAAGTTTATGTAAAGTATCGGTCGAGTTGGTTGATCATTTTCTTTTGGATTGCCCTTCCACATGAGATTTGTGGGTTTTGCTATGTGCTTATATGATCTTGGACTATTCGTTATATTGCTAATTGGTTTTACGGTGGAACCCCAATTTCATCACACTGAACGCCGCAAACACTAATCGACCCGCTGATGTCTCCGAAACCCAGATCGCACCGACGACTTCATTTGATGCATCCATGCGCCAACACCTCCTCGACCTCCGCTCCGTCAGTACCTCCGCTCTCTCTCTAGGATTTGATTCGCAATACCAATAACCTATCTCGCATTGAAAAATCCACACAATTTTAGGGTTTTTGTGCTTATTTTTGTTAGGAAGGCGGCTGGAAGAATCTGGACTTCTGAACAAGTCGCTGCTATCACGGAGCAATTCTTGGGATTACATATGCCGTTGGTTTGTCCCGACGGCGCCGTTGTTGCGTATACTTGGAAGCGGCAGCTCGCCGGCCAAGCTGGCGTGTCTGCGGTTGACAGGACCAGGTTGGTCTACATCCTTTACTTAAAAAATTATAATTAAAGGAAAGCTTCTTTTTTTTTTTCCTTCAAAATTTCCAAAGCATACATAAACTTATGTTCCAAAAAATTATAGATTTTGAAGAGTTTTTCACTAAAGAGGATATGGAGTAAATACAAGTTTCGTATTTTGACCTATGAAGCCATTTCTTGAATTTTGTCATTCAATGTTTTAGGTTAGCTCTCAAGGCCTTCACTGATCAGAAAAGGCATGATCAATGTTTTAGGTTACCTCTAGCTAGTTTATAGATATCCAACTGTCCTTCTTTGGTATCTAGTCACTTATATATATCGTCATAAGCCGCTAGCTTAGCTTCTCTCACAGCTTTCTAGCTTTCTTCACCTCCTGCTTTGCTATTCTATACCTTTCACCATTTTCATCGGTCCTATCCTTGTATAAGGCTTTACAACATTCTTTCTTAGCCTTCACCTTTGTTTGTACCTCCTCATTCCACCATCAAGATTCCTTTTGGTGTGGAGCAAAGCCCTTGGACTCTCCTAATACCTCATTCCACCACCAAGATTCCTTCATTTCTAAACTTCCGACAATATTTTGTTTTGGTGGCTCAAAAGTCGATTGCTACTTCTGCCGCAACCAACATAACTGCTGCTCCTGAGTCTAATAGTCCAGCCGTGCTGCAATCAAGACCAACCTCAGATGCCAACCAAGATTTTGTCCAAGACGTTGAGGTAAACACTATGTCATCTTTGATTTGTAGTGTGCGCGCATTTTTTTATTTTTTTTAAAATCTTTTGATCGTTCTTTATTTGAACCTTTTCGTTAACAAATCTGTTTGAACATAGAATCAAGAGCAGGAACTCGAGCCTACCTCTATTGAGCCAGAAAATGGCGGAAGCAAGGTTGTCATTCAAAATGATTTTGGGACGGGAAAGGTACGTACAAACCTTTCTTTAATTCGACGTCCCTTAGGTCTTGTCAAGTTTGAAGGTAAAACATGGATTAGAAAATAGTAGAATTTGGAGGGATAAGTTTACGTCAAAACTAAACCATCCTCTAGCTTCAATTTGGACATAATTTGGAAGTTGGCATCCATGTCTTCGTTTGACATACATCATATATATCTATTCCATTCCAGTCCATGACACTAGCTTAATGAGGCCTTAATAGTTTTCTCCAACGTCTTTCTATTGTAGAGTCATGAGTTTTCACAAGTTGCGGTGATGGACTCCTGTTAAAGCCTCCATGAACTTTTAGACCCAGCCAGCTCCTCCATTTCTACTCCTGCCAGACTCGCAAGCCATATCGACAATCAGAACTATTCTAGAAATGGACTTTACTACTATGGCTGGCGATGTTAAACGAACTGACAAGATTTCACTCATCAAGAGATTCGTAGATTCTAATTGCTTTCCCACCGACAGCAGAACAAGGATTTTGCAAATATTGGAGCAGCTAGAGCAACCTCTTCGAGCCTATTCCGAGTATGATAAGGGCAAAAACTTGAATGCCCAAGTCGAAGATATGATAAAGCATCTTCAACCTAAGGTTCAGTTTTGTGATAGCAAGAGGAGAGACCTTCAAAGACTAGAGAATGAGAAATTGCAGATTGAAGCCTACCAGGCTGTAATACGTGCTGAAATTGATGGCACTGTCAAAGAGACTAAACCGATCCAGGCAGAACTCAAGGAATTGCTCCCACAGCGAGATCAATTTAAAGAAAATAAGACTAATATCAAGACCAGCTTGGATTTTGGAGAAGGCTACTGGACAATCTTGAAGAAAGTAATTCCCCGCAACCTCCCTCCGTGACTTCCTTCTTTGGGTTGCATTTGGGTTGCAGTTTTTTTCCTTTTCGTTTTCTCTTTGGTGGTGTAACTGCTCGCATTTACCAGCAAATTATTTTTAAGTAGAGATTTTTCAGTGTACCAGGACGTGTTTCTGGTATACCAAGTCGAACCTTATTCTGAGTATGATAAGGTTTAGTTTTGTAATAGTAAAGAGAGAGAATTGCAAGAGCTTGCTAAATGGAAATTGAGTATTGAAGTCAGGCAGGCTGCAATACTTGCTGAAATTCATGGCGCTGTCAAAGAGACTGAACCGATCCAAGCACAATTCGGGAAATTGCTCCTACTGCAAGATCAATTTAAAGAAAATGAGGGTAATCTCAAGATCCAACTTGGATATTGGAGATGGCATCTGGACAATCACAAAAAATGTAATTTTAGGGACCACCTTGATTGGGCATGTTAATTTTAAAGACATTTGTGATAAACAACCAATTGGTTTTCATGAAAGTTTCAAATGAACAAAACCCAATTTTCTTTATAATAATTTATTTAAGATTTGGTCATGTCAAATTTTTATTTATTTTTTGTTTTAATCATGGTTAATATTTAGAAAAGTTGGATATAACTGTAGGTTCAACTCTGAGAGATTCTTTGTTGACGTTTTTCGGATTAACTATATTTATTATAAGACAATTGCTAATTTAGTATTTGAATTATCACTTGAGAGATTTTTTGTTGAAGATTTTCGGACTAACTATATTTATTATAAGGTGAATTGCTAATTTAGTCCTTAAATTCTCACCTGAGTGAAAATTAGGTCTCTAAACAATTTTTTTTTTTTTTTAGAAAAAATATGTCGATTACATCCCTAATAATATTAGATTCAAAGCTACTATACCCATAAGATTTAAGATAATTTTCAAATTAGGCCATGATGTTATTAAATTGCTCCTTAAAATTTGGCAATTTTATCAATTTACACTTTTTGTATATTTTAACGTCTATTATACATTAATTGTGCCTTACATATCAACTCAATCACAGATTTTAAGCACATCATGTCATCAATTTAGTAAAAATTTAAATAATTTAAAAGACAAAATGTGTGATTCAATACAATTTAAGAATCTTAGGACACTGCGAATAAATTCAATTTCACGCCCAATTTGAAAATCACCCTGGAGGGTGCAAAATATAATTAGGCGAAGTTTTTTCAATACTGTACATTTCTTAACTTTAATTTTAATTTTGTCAAACTGTACATTTCTTAATTTGTTTTTTATCAAAAAAAAAAAATGATTTTTACGTTTATGTTTTTACCCTCTCTCTATTTCATCGCAGCTATTCAATTAGATTCACTGTGATAAAACCTTGTCCCTCATTGATGTGGGACAACTCATAACACGCCTTTAGATTCATTGTGATGAAACCTTGTCCCTCATCGATGTGGGACTATGAGATGTGGGACAACTCATAGCACGCCTTCACATGTGTGGCAGATTTTCAAGCCTACACGTGGACAATAACTGGATGACGTGGAGCGCGTGTGGCCGTTTGGCTTCACGAGAACAACCCGCTCTGATACCATGATGAAATTAGGGTTCCACCATAAAACCAATTGGCAATATGAGGAGTAGCCAAGACCATATAAGCACATAACAAACCTTGTTCCTCACCGATGTGGGACAACTCAACCTTGTTCCTCACCGATGTGGGACAACTTTTTTATGGTGGAACATCAATTTTATCATGGTATCAGAACAGATTGTGTTCATGTGAACCAAATGGCTACACGCACTCCACATGTTGTTAAGCTTGAAAAGCATGTTAAAAGTTGTTCCTTATCGACCAACCAAAAAAAAAAAAAAAAAAAAAAAAAAAGTTGTTCCTTATCGAAAATTTATGATGTGCTGATATAATCTTGAACTACTCCTCCTGTATTACCAATTGGTTTAACCAATTTCATCAAACTGGACGCCGCACGCACTAATCGACCCGCTGATGTCTCCGAAACCCAGATCGCACAGACGACTTCATTTGACGCCGGAAATTTGTCGGATTCCGTCGCCTGTGGCGATCTACCTGAAGAGGACGGAGGTGTTGTGGGTAACTCACGGTATTTCCGTCGCTCAGCCTCACCAGAGCTCCAAGCCTCTCCATTTGTTCCTCAACAAGGACGCATCCATGCGCCAACACCTCCTCGACCTCCGCATCGTCGGTACCTCCTCGACCTCCGCTCCGTCGGTACCTTCTCTCTCTCTCTAGGATTTGATTCGCAATACCAATAACCTGTCTCGCATTGAAAAATCCACACATTTTTAGGGGTTTTGTGCTTATTTTTGTTAGGAAGGCGGCTGGAAGAATCTGGACTTCTGAACGAGTCGCTGCTATCACGGAGCAATTATTGGGATTACATATGCCGTTGCTTTGTCCCGACGACGCCGTTGTTGCGTATACTTGGAAGCGGCAGCTCGCCGGCCAAGCTGGCGTGTCTGCGGTTGACAGGACCAGGTTGGTCTATATCCTTTACTTAAAAAATTATAATTAAAGGAAAGCTTTTTTTTTTCCTTCAAAATTTCCAAAGCATACATATGTTCCAAAAAATTATAGATTTTGAATAGTTTTTCACTAAAGAGGATATGGAGCAAATACAAGTTTCGTATTTTGACCTATGAAGCCATTTCTTGAATTTTGTCATTCAATGTTTTAGGTTAGCTCTCAAGGCCTTCACTGATCAGAAAAGGCATGATCAATGTTTTAGGTTACCTCCAGTTTGTCGTCCTTATTGGCAGTTCACCACATCGAAAGCGTTATCAAATTTGAATGTTTCCGGGGCTTACCATGTGGGTTGTTTCTCAGAGGAATTGTGATCTCCACTGATGACAGGTAAAAACTGTCCATTGTCTCAGATATGGAATTGGCAAGATAAAGAAATTATAACACGTCATTCAAAGAACTCCTACTAGAATGTTGAATTTTACATCTGTTCCTAATTTGCTTGAAAGCTACTGGGACATGAACTTTTCTTTTATGTTATTTTTGTATTATTTCAGGGAGATGGTTATAATCAAATTATCTGCACTATAATCTAAATAATTCGCTAGAGTGTAAGTTTTCAAATTTTAATTGCTGCTATCCGAGTGCACAAATCATCTTATATGCGTTGTTTGCAAACTATGAAATCACTTAACTGGTTTTTGTAGTGATATACAACTGTTTCTGGCGATTCCAAAGCTACCGTAAAGCATGACAAATTGGTGATGTAGGAAAAAGAGCGAAGGTAGAACTGTATAAGAAATAAAGAGAGAAAGAAGGGGAACTAGAATTGGGAAAGGTTAGGAAAATTAAAATCAACCTTGTCAATCAATTATTAGAAATATGGTGCATCCTTTAAGCAATTGCAATTTACTCCATAAACTAATTAATAATTTCTCAAAAGTCTAAAGTGAATAAAGAGAGAATTCAAATTAGTTAGCAATATTAAATACATATATCTAATTTCGAGGGTTTGTGACAATGCATAAAATGAACCACAGTTTTCTTGTTGTCTTCGTCATCAATTTGTTTTAGCAAATTCTACAGCCATTTCAGACTTCATGATGGTCCTATCAATTGTAAGTATCAGCTGTACTGGCACCTATGGACTGGTCTGACAGTTTGTGTTCTGTTGAATGCTAATGGCATGGTCGCGTAACAATGGACCCGTACTGAGTTTGTGTTACGTTGAACCCTAATGACCTGGTCGCGTACTACGCAATTTAGTATTAGGTTGCCTCATTCTCTGTTTTGGTTCATACTGTTTCACTCATTATCTTAGTCATTGATCTTTAATCAAGAAAATTCGAGTTAGATATCGTACTCACTTGTTAGATATCGTACTCGCTTGTCTTTCTAACTGAATTGCCAATGCTTCCTTTCTTCATAGAAGGCTATATAATAAACTCTGGTTTTGTTAAAATGTCATGTATCCTGTGTTCTGTTACAAAGCCTTTAGATTTCACTGCTTTCGAATTATATAAGCATGTGTTCTCTTTCTTTTTTTTCCCAATCACAACAGAGCATAATTGTATTTTCATTCTATAACAGGGAGGCAGCTACATACATGCAAGAGGTTTTTCAATTTATCATGTCTATAAGCTTATCACGGTAAAAGCTTTAATTGTCTGTTCATGTTTATTTTAGTCAAGTAATGGGCCTTTCCATTAAATGCGTATAATTTCTTATTTCAGGAACATGCTGCTATTGCCTTGCAGTATTTCATTGGATTTCGAGCTGAAACAGCTCTACATTTGTCTTTTGGTACCAACAGATCTGTTCTTGGATGGCTTGGTTTCTTTCTCTTGCTAATAGGAGGTTTGAGTCTAAGAAGGAGCACGATATAGTGCTTGCGCATGTGGCCTTCACTTGTTGGCATATTTGGAAAGCAAGTTGCAACTTTTTGTTTAATCAATCTCCTATTAATCCTAACCAGGTTCTTTTTGCCATTTCCACTTCCACTGCTGTGTTCCTTAGCGTGACTTCTGCTCCTCTTCCCCACCCGCCTGGTTCCACGATGGCTGTTCAGGTGGCCCATTGGTCCCCCCTTACTTCCCCCTTGGTCAAAGTTAATGTGGATGCAAGCTGGTCTCCATCGTCTCTCACTGGTTTTGCTGGGGTTGTTATCAGAGGTCAACGGGTTGTTTTTGCTGGGGTTTTGCTGGGGTTGTTATCAGAGGTCAACGGGGTTTGGCTACAACTTTGGGCCACCGTTGGGTTATCATTGAATCTGATTCGAAGGAGATGATTTCATCTTTATCTACTTCGTTGGATAATGGCAGCTGGGAGGCCTTTCCTACCTTAACGCTTGTTAATTGGGTAGGGAAGTTCTTTCAGGACTGTCGCTGGTCTTGGGTTCCAAGGTCAGCCAACATGACGGCAAACTTTTTAGCATCGCAAAGAAGTACGGAGATGTGCAATACTAAATGGGTTTGCAGACTTCCATCTTCGCTGGTTCATGTTCTCAATAAGGATGGACTACCTTGGCCCCCTTGATTTATGGTGGCAGTTGTTGGGTTGACACTTGGACCTAGTTCTAGTGTCTTCTTATCCCCTTCATTGCTTTGTTTTGATGTTTGTCCCTTGTTTGGTCTCGGTGTAGACTTCTCTTGTAACTTTATGGCATCTTTGCCCTGGTTTTCCAGTTCTCAAAAAAACAAAAAAAACAAAAAAATTATAGGGTAAAGTGCTGATTTAGTTCCTGAACTATCATCTTAGTGAAAATTAGGTCATTAAATTATTTTTTTTGGTAAAATAAGTTGCTAAATTCATTAAAAATTGCTAATTTCATCCATATTATTATATTAAAAATTATTTTATCCAAAATTTCGTTAGCTTAAATCATTTGACACATTTTAGGGTGTAATATTGTCATTTTCTCTCCTATAAACCCTTAATATTTCATATAGGTTGCTAATCTAACGTATAGTTTAATCTCCAAAGTTAACTTACACTATTTTTTATGAAAAACTACTAATTTACCTTCTAAAGTTAATTACATACGCTATTTCTTTATGAAAAACTATCAATCTACCCTTTAATATGTATTACATAGAAGTATCATGCCTTAAATTGACGGAAAATTGAATATAGTAGCTTTGACTATAATACTAGGGATGTAATTGGTAGATTTTTATAATTTAAGGATGATTTTTTTCTGAAAAAAAAGTTTAGGTACCTAATTTTTACTGGAATGATAATTCAAGGACTAAATTGACAGTTCAGCCTAAATTTTATGCATGCATCAGCTTACGCACCTGGTCACCGGTTGCACGGAGAAAAAGAAGTATTGTCCTTTACTCGGCACTAATCGGCTACTCGGCATTCATTTTTAAACGCGTTCTGCCTTTTACTCGGCACTCGGTTTATTTGTTTTAAAACACTTTCACGGATCCACTTTCAGATCAAAGCAATGCATGATAATATTATAGATACTCGAAGGAACCGCCAACAGGATGCCTTTTGACCCGATAAGGCTCAAAGAAAGGAATATATATGTTGTTGCTGGATCTGCAGCTGCTTGTGCAAATTGCAATCACAGTGAATTTAATCGAAACCCACTGCCGAGTTTATGCCGGAGAGCAATCGCGATCATCTTGATCAATTAGGTTGGTTTGATATGTTGGATAAAAATTTGACTTTTTTGCAATTCATTGCAATATGAGTATGTTGATCCAATTTGAATAATTCGTTACTTTTTAAAGGAGATTTACATGTGATGGTAAGAATATTTTGATCCAGGTTTATCTCTGGTTCTTATGTTTTCTTCAAAGTTGTCCCACACATGAAATATATCAAAATTTTCAACTTAGATATTTTATTACTTATTGATTATGATAATGATTGAATGCAGCAAGTAGAATGGAAGCAAGACTCGACAAGAAACAACCTCGATGGCTATGTCCGGAGGAAATATGTGAAGTTCTTCGAAATCCGCCTGCAATTATGCCACCGAGTATGATGCATTTGTTAAGAAATATTGTATTGGCTAATTAAACTCGAATTTTCTTTCGCACATCATACTTCTCGTTCATACACTTAGTTTCTTACCTGAGGGTGATGACTTATTTCTAGACTCCACTGCCTCAGAAGATGGAAAGTCCAAGGTTCCACCCCATGCAACCATTGAAGAAGTAGACAAAGAGAAAGATGAAGAGGGAAACGATATCAACCAAGTCCGGAAGCGACCCAAAGTCAGCCGTGGCCAGAAGGTAGACTCAGCCACTCAAAGTCACACGTGGCTAGAGTGGATATACCCCTATGCACCTAATCTCCCTTGCCTTCATTTTATATTAATTTAAAGTAGAATATCTTCTTGTATCAAAAAGATAAATTTCGTTCTGCTAGGCTCAATACTGCAACCACTGGGGTTGTTATTTCCGCCACTAGCTTAAAGAGGCCTTATTAATTTTCTTCTATGTCTTTCTATTGTAGAGTCATGAGTTTGCGATAGGTGTGGTGATGTGCTCTCTTGAAGAACTCCATCAACTTTTAGACCGAGCATCTGCACCCAATACACTAGCCAGCTCCTCCATTTCGAATCCTACCATAGACTCGCAAGCCATAGCCGTGACCAGAGCTACTTTAGAAATGGACTTTATTACTATGGCTGGCGAGGTTCAACTAACGCGCATGATTTCAGGCATCCAGAGCTTGGTAGATTCTAGTTGCTTTCCTGCCGGCACCAGAACAATGATTATGGGTTTTTTGAAGCAGCTAGAACAATATGTTCCAGCCTACTCCAATGCCTATTCCGAGTATGATAGGGGCAAAAATTTGACTGACCAAGTCGAAGCTACGAAACAGCTTCTTCAACCCAAGGTTCAGTTTTGTTATAGCAAGGAGAGAGAATTTCAAGAGCTTGCGAAAGCAAAAATGACGATCGAAGGCAAGCAGGCGGCAGTACTTGCTGAAATTCATGGCATACTTGCTGAAATTTGTGGCGCCATCAAAGCGATGCTGGAACAAGTTGAGAAATTCCTCCTACCGTAAGATCAATTTAAAGAAAATGTGGGTAATCTTGTTAGGATCCAAACTCAGAACCTTAACTCAGACCGACAAGTATGTGACAATGGCGGATGGAGGAATACAGAGAAGAGCTAGAAAGAGAGAAGAGTATTTTTTTTTTAAATATACTTCTTTTTGAATATTCGTTGTTTCTTCCCTTCCACAAGTGGCTACATATATGGTTCCCCAAAACTCTCAAAGCCAGCTGGCATAACTAATTACAAAACAACTTAATCAAAATTCTTATTTAATTGCTAAACTATGATTAAGATAATCACAGATATAACATTGCCTCGCCCTTGAGTTAAACCTTGTCCTCAAGGTTGCTGTTAAAACTTGAATCCTGGAAATTTTGTAGTGAACTCATCATAATCTTCCCAAGTACATTCTTCAGCATTCTTGTCCTTCCATTGAATGAGCAGTTGAACCCCAGCTGCATTGTTCTTCTTGTAGACTCTTCTTTGCAGCACTGCTGCAGGTTCTTGAGCTTGTAGTCCATCATCAGTCACTAGTGGTAACAGTGGCACAAGATTAACATCAGGACCCACATGTTTCTTTAAGCAACTGACATGGAAGACAGGATGTATCTTAGAGGTCTCAGGAAGCTTTAGCTTGTAGGCCACACTGCCAACTTTCTCTAATACTTCGAAGGGGCCATAGAATTTTGGGTGAAGTTTGTGGTATGCATGAGTTGCTAGTGATTGCAACTGGTAAGGAATAAGGTTCAAGTAGACCCAACCTCCCACCTCAAAGGTTCTCTCACTCCTGTTTTTATTCGCTTGCACCTTTATTCTGTTTTAAGAAATGATCAGATTAGTTTTTAGCATTGTCAACATTCTGTCTCTTGCCATCAATCCCTATTCAACACTCTCCAGTTTAGCAGAACCAAGCTCATAAGAGGCAATGTGTGGAGGAGGGTAGCCATATACAATTTTGAAAGGTGTGAACTTGGAGGCAGTGTGAAATGAAGTGTTGTAACTCCATTCAGTCCAAGGAAGCCACTAGAGCTACTTCTTGGGTTAGCAGCTAGTGAAGCATCTCAGATAGGTTTCTAAACATTTGTTGACAACCTCCGTCTGTCCATCACTTTGTGGGTGATAACTCGAGCTTATGCATAACTTCGATCCTTGTAGTCTAAAAAACTCCCGCCAAAAGGCACTAAGAAAAATGGAATCCCTGTCACTCATTATGGTCAGTGGCATGCCATGCAATTTGAAAATGTTTTCCACAAATTCTTGTGCTACCATGCTAGCAGTGTATGGGTGCCCCAATGCTATGAAATGCCCATACTTAAAAAGCTTGTCCACCACCACTAAAATGACCGACTTCCCCTTGCATGAAGGCAATCTGCAAATGAAATCCATACTTATATCTGTCCAGGCTTGTTGTGGAATTGGAAGAGGTTGCAGTAACCCAGGTGGTGATATTGTTTCATACTTATTCTGTTGACAAGTCCTACATTCAGCCACCCAAGCTTTTATATCTTTTTTCATCCCAACCCAATAAAAACCTCTTTTCAATCTTTGGTAAGTCTTCAATACCCCTTCATGACCTACTGTGGGAGTAGAGTGATGCTCCTCGAAAACTTTTCTTCTCCAACTAGAATCAACTCCCAATAAAATCCTATGCTTGTATTTCAAGAAGCCATTATCCAGTTGATACTTAGGAGCAGTGATAGTAGTTCTAGGATCTTGATCTCGTACCTCTACTTCTTGTTTCTTTGATCTAACCCACAGATCATGTTCTAAATCTCTCTTGAGGTCATCCAACCACCCAAAATAGGGATAAGTAGCAACCAGTAATTCTCCATTCTCCTCTAAAGGTAGCTCAGAAAGAGGTGGTGACCCTGGAACCCGAGAGAGGGCATTTGCCACAATGTTTTCCTTGCCATGTCTATATTGCACCTTATAATCAAGTCCCAACAGTTTGGACACCCATTTTTGTTGGAATGGGGTGTTGGTTCTTTGACTCAAGAACGATGGCAATTAGCTCCTTTTCATAAGTTGACAATGCCTGATTTCTTGAACCTAAAGCTTGGTTGGCAAAAGCAATAGGCCTCCCATGTTGCTGCAAAACTGCTCCAATACCTAAACCAGAAGCATCACACTCAACTATAAATGGTTCTGCAAAGTTGGGTAGAGCTAGCAATTAGGGTGAAGTCATGGCTTGCTTCAATTTCTGGAAAGCTACCTCAGTTGCTTTTAACCACAGGAATCCTTCTCTTCCAGTGAGTTTGTACAAAGGCTGGCAAATTTTGCCATATCCAGGTATAAATTTTTGTAGTAGCCTGTTAACCCCAAAAATCCCCTTAACTCCTTAACATTCTTAAAAGCATGCCACTCCAATATAGCTTGGATTTTTGCAGGATCTGCAAAAACTCCCTCACTGGATACTATATGGCCAAGGTATTCCACTTGGTGCTGCCCAAAAGAACACTTTTGTTTCTTGACAAATAGTTGATGTTGTTGCAATAATTCTAAAGTTTTTTTCCAAATGCACTAGGTGCTCATCCCACGACTAACTATATATTAATATGTCATCGAAGAACACAAGGATTAACTTCCGTAAGTAAGGTTTAAAAATGTCATTCATGAGGCTTTGAAATGTTGGAGGGGCATTAGTGAGGCCAAATGGCATAACCAGGAACTCATAATGGCCCTCATGAGTTCTAAAAGCTGTTTTTTCAATGTCATCCTTATGCATTTGAATTTGGTGATAGCCGGACCTTAGATCAAGCTTTGAGAAATAGTGAGCTCTATATAATTCATCCAAAAGATCATCAATCAGTGGAATATGATACTTATCCTTGACTGTGAGTCTGTTCAATTCCCTATAATCCATGCATAACCTCCATGTCCATTCCTTTTTCTTCACCAACAACACAGGGAATGAGAATGGACTGTGACTATGCCTGATGAACCCTGATTTTAGAAGTTCCTGCACTACTTTCTCAATTTCATCTTTCTGTGTAGGGCCATAATGGTAAGGCTAAATGTTTTGAGGCTTAGATCCTTGGAGAAGCGAGATTTTGTGATCTTGTGCTCTATGTGGAGGCAATTGTGAAGGAATATGAAACACTGCATCAAATCTCATTAAAACTGCTTGTAACTTTTCCATTTGTTGAGCACTGAGGGTGCCAATATCCTTTGGTGAAAACTCCATTGAATACAATAAAACTCCCAAGTTAGAACCATAGAATTCCTTGTTGAGCTACTGCAATGACATTTCCTGGATAGTCAGCTGTGGTGGTATACTATAGGACAGTTTGAACTTGTTTTGGCCCACTTGAAACTCAATTGTGAGTAATTGAAAATCCCAGAGTACCGAACTCACCGTAGACAACCATTGCACTCTCAACACCAAGTCACAACCCTTCAAAGGCAATGCAAACAAATCAGTGTGACAATGGTATCCTCCTAATTCCAACGGAATATGTCTACAACAACCTTGACTTTTGATTTTGCCTCCATCTGCTATCATTACTTCAAATGGTTTGGTTGTTTGTAAAGACCACCCCAATTTCTTAGTGAAACTAGAATCAATAAAGTTGTGGGTACTACCCGAGTCGAGGAGGATTTGTACAGGTTGGCCCTTAACACTACCCAAAACCTTCATAGTTTGTAGGAAGCGCTTAACATTCATGCCATAAAATGTACATTCACTCAGTGTCATTCCTTGCAACTCAGTTTGCACAGCCTCGTCATTCTCCTCACACAATTCCCCATCATCACACACATCTAACAAAAGCAACTGTTTATGTGTACATTTATGCCCCATGATCCATTTCTCAGGGCAAAACCAACATTCCTCCTGGTCTTTCTTTCTCTGTACTTCCTCATGAGTGAACTTACGATATGGTAAATTGGGAGTTTTACGATATGATTTAGATAATCACGTATATAACATTTCTCAAGACCACGTTGGATACTGGAGATGTCCTCTGGACAACCTTTAAGAAGATAATTCACCAACACTGACCTACGACTAACAAGCTTCTAACAAGGACATGCATGGAACATTTTGGGGAGAGATCAAATGTGCCTACCAAAAGAGCTGTATTTAGCAATTTCTATTACTTCTACTTGTGAATTTTGTGTGACTGGTATTCTATGACTTCTTTGACAACAAAGCAACCTCTGTTTCCTGTTGTTTCTTCCGGTACCTCCGAGCGGTTGCATTAACAATCTTGACAAAAAAGTCTAACATCATAAACCATACCAAACTATTCCAAACTGTGAAAGATTCTGAATTAGACAAACTGAAATAAAACTACCCCTTAGATCAATATCGACAACATATAAATTAAAAGCCAATGTACAAGGATGCATTTTAATTAGCAGAGTTACCTTGATATTTGACAAAGGAGAACTGTGAGATACCTTTCCTTTGCCGCATCAATTTTTTCAATCAGGTTAAGGAAGGACAGCAGCAAAACCAGGAATGCAACTAAAAACCCAAATCAATACATTCTCTATCCATTTAAGAAGTTGATTGTTACAAACTGAGATGATCAAAACTGTGTGCATATATAGAAAATAAGCAAACCATTACCATTAATCAGAAGCGAATACGTAACATACATTTGGTTGCCAAAATATATAGCAAAAGTGAAAGCTAAAACATTTTTGCATAAGTGAAAACTAAAACCTTTTTTCCTTGAAGGAGCTCCGTCATGATTGCCAGAGTTTGTCGACTATCTTCGTTTCCCACCGTTTCTTTCGACTGCCATTTGGTAGCTAGGGTAGCCTGGGCTGCTTGTCCACAGGCCATGCAGTCTATTCTTTGGTGGCGATGCTTCTGTGATTTGTACAGCGCGATATATGCGTTAGCAGAGAAGTTGTAGCTATACCAACGTTGGTCTTGTGACTTAGGTGGCTTGAAGGTTCATTGGTTCACGGGTGAACTTGAGCTGCCAGAGTTGCGCGCATAATAATCTTCATTATAAAATGGCTCATCGAAGTCGAGTCGTCGTCTAGCCAAAGACGGCTTGTGACTCTGTTTGAGTGCCAAGCCTATCGAAAACTCTCTGGCGTTGGCCTGCACTGAGCACTTTGTGAGATGTTACCGCAGCTGCAGGTGCCAGTTGTGGTGACTCAGCAGGAAGTGGTTGTGGTTTTGGCTCAGTTATGATGACGGTCTATTGGCATCGACTACACAGAAC